TATATATATATATTCATACTGCAGTAAGTCTGAGAGCCTCTCAGTGTCTGCCTCCCTACTGGACTAAATTATTGTTCTTTCAGACATAAATTATCACCATAGCCACCCCCTGTCAATGTGACATTATACAGAAGCTGTTTACAGAGCTAGTTCAGAATCAGCCGTGTAAGGATCTGATACCAGAGCCATAAACACAGTAAATTATGCTTTTCTTTTCTGTCTGAAGTAAAGATTTGTTCCCCCTGGTGTTTTATAACCTCCTGTGCATGACCTGACATTATAAACAGGTCTTTAATGCACACATGATGGCAGAAAACTAAAATGCCACTAGGGGCCAAAAAAAACTTCTCATCCAGAAAAAATGGAGCACATGTGGCTTTCTATCAGCTTGTGGAAAGAAAATGAGAACGAGAGAGAGTGAGGCAGGCAACAGAAAGAGAGGTGGAGAAATGAGAGGGGCAGAAGCACTGCTGCAGAACACCTCATCTCCTCTCTAGCTGGAGGGAGAGAGCGAGAGAGAGAGAGCAATAGAGAGAAGAGCAGAAAGATAGAAAAAGAGAGAGAGAGACTCAGTCTTTGCCAATTTTCTCTTCAGCCCTTGTGATAGAGAGGGAGCTGGGGAAGTGATATTTCAGGAATCTTAAGAGATCAACAAACGTGCGAGAGGGGGAAGGACAGAAAACTCGACATGTGAAGAATCTGCAGAAACAACGACTGAAAGCGAATGGAGAAGGGAAGAAACGACAGAGAATGAGAGAGAGATGTAGTCTGTGCTTCTGCTGCGGTAAGATAAAATATGTTGTGTTTTCTGAGCAAACTGGACACTGTAGCACTCACAGAAGCATGTAGTTGCTCTTGCACACATGCAGCTGTGGTGGATGCATGCATATTCACTCTGAATGAAAGCGGGATTGATTCAGTAGTCATGGGAGCAGGTGTGTGTGTGTGTGTGTGTGTGTGTGTGTGTGTGTGTGTGTGTAATGAAAAAGCTTGAGTGTCTCTGCAGGCAGAGAAGGAAAATAAATGATGAGTTTGTGTATATGGGTGTCTTAGTGCTGGAAGAGATTCAGCTGCAGAGCAATGCGTGTGTGTGTGTGTGTGTGTGTGTGTGTGTGTGT